GGACACAGGCAGTAATCGCTCAGTTGCAGAGACCATTCTCGGCTGGAGCCCTGTCCCCTGTGGCAGCCTGCCACGAGGGCTCAGCCGGGCATCACCCAGCAGTGGGGTGGCATTCTGGGGGTTGACAGTGTTGTCCTTGTGTGAGCATCATAGAGCGCCCTGACATTCTCCAAGGTGACCAGCCATACTGTGCGCAGCCTGTCCTTTGACTGCAACGCCGTTCCATGCTGCAGGGCTGAAATTCATCCGCAGGCACCATATGGAGGTGGGGTGGCCAGGAGAGCTGTGGGCATCATGGGGAAAGGAGGGTGAGGAGCAACACAGTCAGAGCAAAGCGAGACGGAACAGGGCAGGCACACGGACGGAGGGAGGGAAGACAGGAGGGCTTGGACGTAATTTGCCGGAGCAAGCAGCATGGACACGGAGACCCTGGCTGGGCCTAGTGCCGCGTGGGGCGTGGCGGAGGCAGCCGCTCACATCTACACTTCCGCGTGGGGCGTGGCGGAGGCAGCCGCTCACATCTACACTGTGGCCTTGGCCACACCGGTCCCTTCCTGTAGACGCTGAGCAGCCCTGTAGCTGGAGAGCGGGTTTTGCTGTGCTCTGTTCCGTCATCTGTGGGAGGGGCCGCAGGCAGGACCTGGCCTTGCACCTTGCGTAGACCTCATGGCCACGGGGAGTCCTGTGACCAGGGAGACGTTTCTGGGTGTGAGAAACGGGTACACAAGGTGAAATAGCAAAAGTTGTGCCCTAGTGTTGTGAGGGCCTTATTTGCCCTTGGCCCTCAGTGGAGCAGAGATGCTGGAAGGCGGGCATTCATCACCTTTTCTCTTAGCAAGGATGGAGCTGGAATCCAGGGCCTGCCGCCTGCCAGGCAGTTGCTGTACCCTTGAGCTGTATCCTAGCCTGACATTTTAATTATCAATGTGACAAGGTTTTCTATAATCTTAAACCAAATCCAAGCCAAGAGTGGTGGCGCACACCTGGAATCTTAGCACTTGGGGGTCTGAGGCAGGAGGATCGCCATGAGTTTGAGCCCAGTTTGAGCCCAGCCATGAGTTTGAGGCTACATACCGAGTCGCTGTCTCAGAAAACAAAACAACAACAATAAAATCCATGCCAGTCAGATACACATTTTACATTTTCCTTACTTTATTTTATTTTTTAATGTTTAAAGAAGAAACTTCAGATTATTGAGATTTGGCTTAAATTAAGTCGGTCTGTCTGTTGCCTCTGCCCGCATGCGGGAGTCCGTTTGTTGACTTGCTGCTGCCCGCGACATAATGTATTTATTAATTGTTTGAATTCTAATGAGATCACTTCCTCCTCCAGAAATTCTAAATGTCATTTGTTCTTTCCCAGATGGTCTGTAATTTGTCCCTAGAACCTCTTAGTTTGAAGGTACATTCACTAAAACTCTACATGATGCTTCTTTTCGAATCTCTCTTTGCAGAGATGCATGTACTTTGTAAAACCTAAAAGTTTTTAGTTATGGCAAATACACGTTATATGAAGTTGGATGTCTTAACTATCTTTAAACGGTGGTAAAGCGCATCCTCATTGCTGTACTTGACTTTTCCTTTTGCGAACCAGAAAACTCTGTGCTTATTAAACAACTCCCCACTCTCCTCTACTCCTAGCTGGTTAGCTTCCTTTGTTTGTCTTTGTTTAGAATGTTAAATATAGTCTAATATAGTTTAGATATTTTTCTTTTTCTTTTTTTTTTTTGGTACCGGGGATCGAACTTGAGTCCTTGTGCTTGCGCAGCAGGCAGCAAAACCACTGGGCTAAATCCCCAGCCCAGTTTAGATATTTTTCATATTTTTTTGCTCAATCAAAAGGGGGGACCCTAAGAGTGGCATTTGCATCTGTACAGAGTCCTGTTGGAATATAGCCTTACACCGTCACATGCTTCATCAACTTCCCTGAAAAGGCAAAAAGTTTTCGCTGACCTCCAGCATTGGAGATTGAGCCCAAGACCATACTTGAACTAGGCAAGTGGTCTACTTCTGAGCTACCTCCTTAGTCCTAAATGGTGAAAGGTTTTAAATGTGTTGAAATGCAGAACACTTTGAAACTTTCCTTTCCATTGGATACATTGCCTGGTGTCTCAGAAAAGCAAAACAAAAGCCAGGTTTGGTATCTTCCATTAAAGTTAGCTCTAGGCAAACACTTTCCGGCACCTTCAGCCTGTGACGCAGCAGGCAGGGTGGATAATGCCAGGCGCAGATGTGGGAAGAGGCAGCCTACAAGCCTGGAGCAACTTCAGTGTAGGTTAAAAGATAATGAAGCCTCAAACTCAGGAGGTTGAGGCAGGAGAATCCCTGCAAGTTCAAGGCCAGCCTGGGCTGCATAGTGAGCTCAGGCCAGTCTGCACTACAAAGCAAGACCTTGTCTCAATAATAATAATAATAATAAAAAAAGATAATGAAGTTGCCCTCATTTTCTAATGGGTAGCATTTTTACCGGAGTCTGAATGAGACCAAAAATCCTCCAAGAAAGGTTAAATCAGCTACAGTAGACACAAAGGCATGAGTTGTACTCTATACAAGTTCTCCACAAAATGGAAAATGCCAAGGCTTTCTCACGTGAAGCAGTAAAAGCCAGCTATTAGCAGTATTTACAGTACTTGGAACTTTCAGTTTCTTGACACTGTGGGGTTCATAAGGGACCCTGTTTTGCCCTCGGTAACTCGCTGAGCTGGGAGACAGTTGTGCAGCACCCTCCCCTACTTTGTCTTTTCACCCCACTTTTGGGGACCGTTGGTTCCACCTCACAGCACACCGTTTTCCCCCTCCTGAAGATGGTGGCTCCACCGAGCAGCCTGAGATATGTTGAATAATTTTTCTGAGCTTCAAGGCATAGGCCGTCCACATTGGTGGTCCCAGAGCTGTGTGGTCGACAGGGAAAAGTATGGTGATGCTTTTCTTGAGGTCCGATGGGTGTAGTCACTAAGAGATGAGCCACATACTTTTGCGAACCTGTGGGGCTGCCTATGCATAGAAGCTGCTGCCAGGAGCACCCAGGTTCCATTCAGCACTGCTGATTGGGTGGGGTCGGCACGTGGACCTTGGCGTCCTTCCGGTCTGGCTGACACAGCCGCCATGTTTCAGTCTGAGACATTGAAAGCTATTTCGCTGAGCCAAGTGCAGTGTGAATTACTGTAAAGGGTTAATTAGGTGTCAGACCATGCTGGACCTCCTGTCCCCATAGGAAAATCGTAACACCGCCCTGGCAGAGTGAGCAGTGTCCTAAATGATGCTGTACAATTGGAGAGGTTGGGAGTCAGAAGAAAGGGGTAATGTGGCTCAGAGATTCTGGTGGAAATGAGCATTTTTTTTTTAAAGAAAGCTTGTGTACAAATGAGTGTAGAATTCATGGTGGTTTTATGAGTAAATCAATACCTTCAGTAAAAAGAGCTCAGCTCACAATTTTATAGCACCCCATATGTATTGGAAGACAGGGTGCAACCTATCCAGGACGAGGGTATATTAGTGGCAGGTGTGCATCCTAATGCCATGAAGAGCAGGTGAGTTGGATGTAGCACCACAGCTCAGCCTGCCATATTGGTTGTTGGAAGTTGGCCTCCACTGCTGGCCTGTCCAGCTTTCAAAAGAGAAATGGAATTGACAGTCAGTCGTGCCTTCTGTCAAAGTAGAGAAAAAATAACATACTTCATAGTAAAAAAAAAACAAAAACCAAACAGTTTTGAATTTAGCAGAATAAAAACATCACTGACCGGATAGAAAAAACTGCTGTTTCAGACAGAGTAGATGCATTGCCTCTACTGAGAGCCGAGGTGGAGGGAGGCCCAGACACCTGTGGTCAGGCCTTGATGGGGGTGCGTGGCACCCTCGGGAAGAGTAGGAAGCTTTCCTTTCCCTGGGGAAGGAGCAGCTTCTGTCTTCCTTTCTGGCCAAATCTTCCTCACAGTGGTCTGACAGAAAAGATTTGGAGTTTCCAAAGGGCTGAACTCATAAAAGAACTTTGTTTTCACTAATTGAGGTGAAATTTGCTCAGCATAAAATTAATCACTGTAAAGTGTTCAGTCAGTGGCATTTCATACATTTACGATGTTGTGTAACCAAAGGGTTTAACTGGTTCCCAGATATTTTCAGTGCCCCACGTGGAAGCTCTGTATCCACTAAGCACTGCCTCTCTCTTCCCGCCTCCCCAGTGCTTAGCATGCCTTTCTGTTTCTGTGGGTTTTTCCTGTTCTGGGTCTGGGTCTGGATGCCCGGTAGCCGAACCGTCCTAGTGCGTGTTGTAGAAGTGGAGTGGAGAGCTGTCCCTAGGGAAGGCGCCCAGGCATTGCATTTAGGAAACTAGCTTGTGTTCTGCTGGATGGAGGTTTTGCTTCGTTTTCTGGGCTGCTTGTCGGCCTAGAAAGGCAAGATTGCCACCCAGGCTGCAGACCAGTTCCCATGGCCTGTCGTCATGAAGGGCGCAGCTACCAGAAGCCGAGCTAGCTGGCTGTATGTAGTGTAACATTCGCCCTTCCGTTTCGACGTCACATTCGGTGACGTTCAGTGCATTCACGTTGTTGCTCATCCATAGCTGATGACCACCTCTGAGCTTCCCCAGATCCCCACACAGAAGCTGCGCTCCCTCCCCAGCAACTCTCCTGCCCGTCCCCAGGCCCCAGGCAGCTCTGCTCTTCCTCTGTCACTTCTTTTGCCCACTGTTTCTTAATGGCCACAGGAGGACAGAAGAAAGTGGCACGGAGAGGTGTTTGTGCCCAGGAAGGGATTAGGATTAAAAGATCAGCCTGGAAGGGGATTTGGGGCTGGGCTCCCCACCCTCCTCCTCTTTACCTTTCCCCGAGAGCCCCTTTGATGGCTCTGTCCACTCCTACAGGACAGCAGGACTCTGTGTGCCCATGGGTCTTGCTGACCCGGACCATCCAGCTCTGCCTGGTGTGCAGTGGCAGGAAGGTGAGCCCCTGGCCGAGGTGCCCACCTAACGCCAACGCTGCTCCTGTACCCGCCCTGTGCTTGCAGACCTACATCGGCTCCATCCTCGCCTCGGTGAACCCCTACCAGCCCATCGCCGGCCTGTACGAGGGCGCCACCATGGAGCAGTACAGCCGGTGCCACCTGGGCGAGCTCCCGCCGCATATCTTCGCCATTGCCAATGAGTGCTACCGCTGCCTGTGGAAGCGCCACGACAACCAGTGCGTGCTCATCAGGTGAGTGTGGGCGCGGGGTGTGCAGGTGAGGGCCGGCTGGGACCAGCGCTGGGCCCCTGACCCACAGGAAGCTGGTCGCTGCACCCTCCTCCTCCGCTGTGGCCTTCCATGTGGAGGAGGATGGCAGTCACAGCTCCCAGAAAGCATGCACTGGTGCACAAGGCCCGGCCCAGGGACCCCATGGGTGGCTTTGTTCAGACCAAACTCCACTCTCACGTCAGTTCCTTCTCATGTCCCGCACCCCTTTTGCCTTAGATTTTCTGGGGTGTATTTCACTTATGTGGCATCGTACTGTATACTTGCACATAGTTCCTCTTTTTCCGCCTGCTCATCTAGTATGATACAATTACTTTAGATCAGATTTCCCCAGATTTAAGAAATGTTATTAATTATATGCTTCTCAAGTTTACTTACAAAATAGAACACAAAAGAGGACTATATATAGGAAATGGTACAAGGGCATGTTTATTTCAATTATTTTCTTTTCTGATAGTGGTGAAGGGACTTGGCATATATCCATTTTCACTAAGCCTAGCTCTTTTTTTAAAAAAAAAAAATAAAGAACTAGGAATCCCACCATCAAAACCTTTGTCACTAGGAGCTTTCTCAAAAAGCAGTAGAATGTTTGTTAGTATTTCCTGGGCTGGAGTGTGGCAGCTCAGTGGCAGAGTTCTTGCCTAATGTCCTGGGTTCAATCCCCAGCACCATTTATATCTCAACTTTTATTGTTAACTAATTCACACTGACCTCGTCACACGTATGCTGGTGACACCCTGTCAGATCCTCTGACCATTGGTCCTATTAGAGTCCTGTCTAGAGATGATCGACACAGCCCTGCCTGGTGTTCAGAGCCACCGCGGTGAATGTCACCTGCTGTGCAGTTTCCATGGAGTAGCCAAGTGCATCACTCATGCCATTCATTGACCCTCCATTCATTTATTCCGTCACGCATGGAACGTGGCTGTTGCTGAAGAGTGATGGTCCAGTGAGGCTGCCAGTGTGAAAGATTTTGACCTGTTTGATGTCATTATTTATGTTAAGAGGAAAGCGATACATGGATTTGAGAGAGAATAATAAAAAGGTACATACCCCAAATTTCTAATTCAGTGGTTTCAATGTGGTTTTGGTTTTTTTTGGTACCGGGGATCAAACTCAGGACCTTGTGCTTGTGAGGCAGGCGGCAGAACCACTGAGCTAAATCCCCGGCCTCTAATTCAGTGGAAGCGAGGCCTAAGAGCCAGGTGGAGAGCCAGATGTCATCTTTAGATGTCCAGCCACTCAGGTTTGCCAACATTGCAGCCTCAAATCAGACAGACAGACAGACAGGCAGGCAGGCAGGCAGACTGACTGACCGGCCCAGCTGTCATGGGTATGGCCAGGTAACTGGGGGCCACAGTTACTGTGGGAAACCAGTTCTCAGGGGGTGGTGAGCAGATCTGAAGGGCTGAGCAGCACTCCTACCCCCCCACCCCCAACCAGGGAAGCCCCTCTTGCGGGGGGGGGGGGGGACCTGCCAGGGAGATGCAGAGTCCCCTTAGCCAAGACACATGGGTCATCCACACTGTCCCCGTGGGATGTGACTGACGGTGGTAAGAAGTAGCGGCTGGCGTCTCTGACACGCACTTTTGGACATAGAGGCACTGAACCTGACAGCCTCTGGGTGTGGGTGCTATGTGAGGCTGCCTCTAGGTGTCGCCAGAGAGCAACTTCCAGGAAGCTTGTCGCACTGAACCTGCCATTTTTGGTGGTTCCTTATTTTTTTAACAAATGAAAATGACACGTATGTAAAGTATTGAACTCTTACTGTCTCTCTGGAAGCATGTGGGCAGATGTTCCAGCATCTGTTTATCGCTGCTAACGTGCGGCCTGGAAGCAACTTGGACCAAGAACTGTCACTGTTTTTAGTCAAGCACGCGGGGATCATGCCGATTTGCAGCTGATCAAAGTTAAACGGCTTACTACAGAAAGAGTGTTTAAGACTCACCTGCCCAATAAAAGAACTTGAATTTTGGACTTACTAAAAGCACTAGGTGTATTTTAGGTGATTTTAATAAAAGTTTTCATTGAAGTTAGATTAAAGGTCATTATTTGAGTATGTAGAATACAGTTTCATGAGATTAACAGAAAGAGAAGGCAGTCATTGTAAGACTGTCACATTGTTGTCCACACTTAGGTGGCTAAATACTTGCCATTGATAATTTCTCATGGTCACTACTTTGAGTGGAAAAAATGAGAGCATGACTAGTCAGCACAGTTGAGGAAAGAAAGTGAGGAATCAAAGGAGGTCATTGTGCACACACGTGTGTGTGTGAGTGTGTAATAAAACGGAAGGGGTTGGTATTTTCGTGCGAAAGACTGGTATTTAAAAGTAAGAGGAGTGAGCTGGGGATTTAGCTCAGTGGTGCCGCGCCTGCTTCGAAATCGCAAAGTCCTGAGCTCCATCCCACGGTACTGGAAAAAAAATAAAATGAAATAAAAATAAGAAGGGTGCTGGGTGGGGAGCAGCCCCAAACAGAAAGCCCTGGTCTGTGATGCTGAGGTGAAAAGGGTAGGTGTGTTTATCTAAATTAACTCAGGAGACAGAGTTTAGGAACAAATTTCTCACTAAAATGTGTTATTGTTTTAATAGATCTTTCCAGCAGGTTTTTGTTTTGTTTTGTTTTTTTTAAGGGGAGGTGGGGTGGAGCTGTAGGGATGGAGAGAAAATTCAATCTAAAAAGTCTAAAAGTGCCGAGTAGGTACAGCAGCCGCATTTAGAGTTCCTTGGGGTCATCGCCCCCTGGTGGATGCAATGAATTTTACTATTTGCAAGACATTTTCTCTTGCTAGTGTTTTTAAAATCAAAATATTCCATTCTCAGCCCCTCAAATGAATAAGTGAATAAATCAGAAACCAAGCCTATTTGGAACTAAACAGAACATTGTAGTTCCATTTCCTGTCACCTTCTGACTGTACACTGCTTGGATACAACAGGATCGGGCCTCTAGGCTTCCAGGGCACGCCTCTGCGATCTCATTTCAAGATTGTTGCCTGTCTTCAGCTCTAGCTTTATTTTACCTTTTTGTGCATACTTAAATGGAAATTTATGCTATTATCACCTTAAATAGAAATATGGAAAAATACAAATACATAAATTTAAAACTCTTGAGAATTCTTTCTTCATCTAATAAAGTCAGCATTTGACCTTGGTTGATCTAATACATTTGAACTTGATTTTAGCTTTTCATACATTGCATAGGGCAGGTGGGATTTAGTTTATTTTGGTCTTTTCCTGTGTAAGACCTTTAAGATAGAATGGTGTCAGAAGACAAAATTACAACGAATTCACATATAAATCTAATTGGCTTTTATTCACAATCGAGGAATCAAAGCAACCTTTGTTTTACAGAGTAGAATGAGAGTTCCCACTGGAAAACAGCAAGGCAGAGGTTGTAAGGCAGGAAAAGGGAAACTTGGAAAACTAACTGATGGCTGCTCTTTTGTAAGGGTTAAAGCAGAGGAGACTTCTGTGGTACACCGCCTTAGGTAGATTGCAGTCAGCTGTGTTGAGGAAGAACTACTCTTTTATGGGGCCTCTCTGTTCCCATAAGCCCCGGCTAATTATGTGGCGTTTAGCATGAGTGACTCCATTTTGCTTTGTCTGGTCTTTGGGGGCCTGGTACAGGAGCTCAGTGTAAACAGTGGCCTTCAGTGGTGGCAGTGGAGAAGGCCCGAGGCCCAGGCCTCTTGGAGCACCACACTCAGGACTGTGTGAGTGAGTGGTAGAAGACCTGCGTCCAGCAGCTGTCAGTCAGAGGATGAATAACCTGGAGAATTTGGAGTGACTTCTGGCTCAAGATCTTTGCTTGCTTTGTATGTTTGGGGTTTTCAAGAAGAAGCAGTTTTAACTGTGCCTGTATATCTCCTGGGATGTTATTTGGGTGTTTGGTCTTTTTCTGTTTCTAGAAATATGTCTAGAAATGATGGCTCTGGAATGCTGGAGGAGGCTTGTATGAGGGTGAGAAAGGCTCCAAGCGGAGCAGTGGATGAGATGGAGGAGACAGGTGGAGGTGGAACCAAGGGAACGGCCATTCTGAGAGGACCTGTTCTCGGGTGATCCTCGGAGGAGCTCAGGGGCATTGTCTGTGGGGAAACTGAGGCCTGGGAGTGTGAGTGACTGGTAGAGAGACTTAGGTAAGCTGTGCTTAGCTTGCCAGGACCTCTGGATTTAGTGCCTGAGACAGGGGAGAAGTTTCCAGTTTCCTGGCAAGCCGAGAAGTGGCCTGATTTGGCTTGTGAAAATCACGTGACTCAAGGGAATTCAGTTCACGAGAAGGGACATGCTTGAATGTCAGATGCCAGCGAGGATCGAGTGAGAGGGTCCTAAGGATATGCGTTTTTGCTCTGCGGGTGAGGCCACCCATTCAGCTGCTCAGCTCTGCGCTTGGGTGGGAGACCACTGCTCACAGTGTGCGAAGGGATGGAGCAGGCTCTGCTCCCAGTCAGCTTTACTGCAAAAACGGCGGCCCTGGGGATCCCAGGCTGAGTTTGTTGGCCCCTCACTGGGTCTAGGGAGCTGCCAGCCAGCGTGCCCTGCCGGGAGACCACCCAGCCCGATGCTCGGGATGCCCCTCCCTGCTTTCCTTAGGACGCTGCCCCTCTGAGCCCCGCTGCTGCGCTGATTCTTTGGCCTCTTCTCTTGTACTGTTGTTGGTGTCGCCATTAAACCCAGCCAGTGTGTTCAGTCCCCCACAGCATCCCGCTGGTGGTTTTCTCCTGGTTGCTGCTCCGCCCTGTGTTCACTTCTCACCTTCTCCTTTAACCTCTCACGCTGCCCTTTCTTCTCTGGAGTCTGCATGAGCGCCCAGATGTCGTGGCTGCCCGGTGTCCTGCATTGATTCAGAACGTTTTTTGCCTTCCACAGTTGTTTTGACTTTGGGGAAGAGCCAGGAGCCGTACAGTGCCAGATCTGGTGACTGAGGTGGATGATGACTCACGGTCGTGTTTTTACTAGCCTGCCTTTCCGTCGGATGGGTCTCGGCAGCAGCTTTCACCACTTTGCTAGCGCATCTCTGAAAGCCGTGTGATTTAATCCTTTGCCATGCACCATGCGTGCACCACGCAGATGGCCCGGCCTCAGCTCTCTGGCACCCCTGTCCCTGGTGTCTACAAGGGAGGCTGAAATGCCTGCTCCTGTGCGGCCCAGGGTACGGAAATGGTTAGGCGAGTCCTTAACGTGTTTCTTCCTCACCAAGTCTAACTAACCCTTTAGTTTTCATTTTTGTTTTTAATAATTCAGCCACCACAGCTGCTGCGCAGATACAGGTTTCTCTGATATACAGAGCATTGTTTAAAGATTCCCTCGGAGCTCAGCTTCTGTGACCACCCGTGCATGTTGTGGCTACCTCTGTGGTTACGAGGGCAGACGAGGGGGCCTCGGGGAGAAAGGAACCCCGAACCAAAGCTGGCCTCGCTTCCTTGGGCCTTTGATGTCTCTGATGACCCCAGGCTGGGTGGTTTCAGGGTGCTGGGCCGGCCACGCCTGCTGGGCTTGTCTGACGTTCTTTGCTTCTGCTTTAGAATCCCAAGCTAGTGCGGGTTCTTGATGTCAGGGTGGGTGTGGACTGTCAGGCACCTGTGTCTGCAGGACGGGGGCCATTTCTGCCCGTCTCCCTGTGCGTGCAAAGCTGTGGCCAGACTCCTGTTACCTCCCCAAGCCCCACCCTAGGGCCCAGCCACAGAGAGGCGGGGTCCTGAGTGGGCTGAGGGCGCCTGGCCTGCTCACGTGGTGTCTTTTCTGAGTCGTCCCCTCTGTTTCACTGCTTGGGCATCGCTCGCCCTGTTTGCAGCACCTGCCTGCATCCTGATCTCCTGGATCTCGGCGTGCCATCGGGAATTCCCGCAGAATTCAGAGGGTGGTGTGGGGAATCCACCCCTGAGCAGTCCGTAGCCTGCTGCCCATCTGCTGTCCGTGCCCTGCTGTCGCTTAGCCTTCGGTTCACTTCCCTGTGAGCTGTGGCTTCTCTGCTGCTGCTGTCCCCAGTCCCCGAGCACGGAGCCTCACAGGACGGACTGGACCGCTCCTTCCCCCTCTCACCCCGTCCTTATTCTGCATCCCGCCCTTTACCTGCATCCCCGACGTGACCGCTCCCGCCTAAGAACAACACCGGCCCATCTGCCCCAGGGACCCTGGTCCTTAGAGGGCCCTCGCGGCTCTGCTCCTCACTGGCAACCTGGATGATCATTTTCGCCGGTCCTTTGCTGCCGCCCTGGTGCACTCTGGCCGCTGACCTGTCACCTGCCTGTCACAGCTCGGGCTGTGCCCTGGGACCTGGCCGGGCTGGTCTTGCTCCTGGGCGCTTCCTCCAATTCCCGTCTGGCCCGATCCTTGCCCTTCTCCTGCCTGCACCTGTGAGCCCATATTCTCGGCGCCCACAGACCTTTCTGCTCTGTCTGGATTGCGTTGCTCACTGTTCCTTAACGATCACCAGGGCATGACCTCCGGGGGACTTGAGCCAGGCAGACCTGGTGTGCAGTTCTGGGGGCTGTGTGGTGAGTCGGGGGTCACTCGTGCACCCGAGGGGCACCCGCTCTCTCCTCAGTTGCTGAGTGATTTCATCTATGCACATTTATTGGCTTTAACTTTCCCAGAAAGACGCTATTCCTGTGCTCTCCCATTTAGCCAGTATTCAGCAGGTGCCTGCCTCCAACCAGGTGCCGGGGGCGCGCTAGTGAACCAGGCAACCCCAGGGCCACACAGCTTCCCTGCAGTGGAAGGTGCCCCTCCTTAGGAACCAGCCAAGAAGCGGGGTGCCCTGCAGGATTGGGGCGCCTGCTGCCCTTCCACTCGGCTCTTTTGCACTCTGCGTCTTACTTCCCTCACCTTTCCAGGCTGCTTCTATGAGGAAGCACACGGAGTTAGGCAAGTTATATACCCAGAAGCACCAACTTCTGCCGTTTGTCTTGCAGCGGTGAAAGCGGGGCAGGTAAAACCGAAAGCACCAAGCTGCTCCTCCAGTTCCTCTCGGTCCTCAGCCAGCAGTCTTTGGAACTTTCCGTCAAGGAGAAGGCGTCCCGTGTCGAGCAGGCTATTCTTGGAAGCAGGTATTTCTCGAACTCATTTTCTTGCTCCAGTAACCCAGTAGGATTTGCTTTCCCCACGACACGCAGTAGTTCAAAGTGGTTGGTTTAGTTTCTCCTTTTCTTGGCATTTCTTTTACAATTCCTTCAAAACCTGTCCTGATGCGCGTGCCCGAAGTGCCCTCTGAGAACTCTGCAGCAGCTCCTCCCACTTGAAGGAGCCCCGACCCTTCGTCCTGGGCCGGTTTGGGAGGTGCCAGGGGTGGGAGAGACAGCACAGCCTCCTTCCTCCCTGGGGTCCAACTCCAGCTTGCTTTGTTTCTAAAGGACATGGGTCAGGTAGGGCACTAGGGTGGGAGTTTGTAAAGCTCAGTGGGGCTTTTGATGCCACGGTAGCAGCAGAAATGCTGACCACTGAGAGCATGTGTGAGAGCGGGCTGTGCCCAGCACTCGGTGTGGGGACTCACAAGGCTGTGTGGCCCAGTGTCATCTGAACTGTCACTCGAGGTGCAGTGCCTGGTATCCGTCTAGGACCTTGCAAGAGTTTAGAACCTAAGAGACCAAGGGAGAGGTGGGAAAGGGAAGGGGAAAAAAAGAATTAAGACTGCTGTGGACAGGTACCCACTCCCCACGAGGAATGTTATCATGATGTACTGCAAACGCACCCTAAGAAAAATGACATAAAACCTGGAAGAAAGGGTATAGATCCTGTTTATTTAGGGTTGTCCAGGAGTTGGTAAGCTGAGCCTTGTTTGGGTTTTGATTTTTTAAGCGCTTGTTTTTGTCTCATAGTAAAATGTAGATAACATTGTAAATGTTGCCCTTGTTCAGTGCATAGCTCAGCAGCATCGACTCTGCTCACACAGCTGTTCAACCCCAGCCCGATGCACCTCCTGCATTTCTGTGTCTTCCCTCCTCAGCCGTCTTTGTGGTTTTCTTGGGATCCAGCCCCACTCATTTGCATTGTTTCTGGGTGCTTTCAAGCTGCAGTGGCGGAGCGGAGATCCTGCGACAGGGACCACAGAGTCCCCGCCAAGCCTGGCGCATTTGCTGCCTGGTCCTTTGAGGAGGAGGGTGCTTCTCCTGGACCTGTCTGAATCCAGTTCACATGAGGGCGACACCCCCGAGGGGTTAGATGAGAAACTCCCAGGACGGACCCTTCTCAGCATCTGGAACCCAAGTGTGGGTTTTCCAAGCTCTCTGGGTCCTGCATGTTCCTGGCGGCCTCCCCAGCCGTGCGACATCCTGTGCAGCCCCACAGGCTAGGTCCCTCTCTGGCTCACAGCACGCTAGGTCCTCTGGGCGTGGCTGTCTCTCACCTTTGTCTCCTGTGTGTCTGTGAGAAACGCTTCCCTTTTTAGCTCCACCCTGGCTAACCCTCCTGCTGCCCTGGCTCTCTCCACAGCCCCATCATGGAGGCCTTCGGCAACGCAAAGACCGTGTACAACAACAACTCCAGCCGCTTCGGGAAGTTCGTGCAGCTGCACCTCTGTCAGAAGGGGAACATCCAGGGCGGGAGGATCGTAGATTGTATCCTGCTTCACTGCGTTTCTGCGCGTTGCTTCTGATTCTGTCAGTGGAAACTACGCTCCTTTGTCTCCAGGTCCCAGAAATTGCACGGAACACTTCTTACGCTGGTTCTGCCTTGCTTTTGCTGTAATGTTACTACACTTAACCTATTAATTGTTCTGTGAGACAAAGAGCTATTTTGAATGGCTTTCCAGTCTGAAAAAAACACTGTGTTCACCATTTTATTAGTCCATTTTCTGTTGCTATAACAGAATACCTAATTCTGGGTACTTTATAAAGGAAAGAGGTTTTTTACAGAAAAGAAAAACCTGAGCATGGTGGCACACCTGTCATCCCAGGACCCAGGAGGTTGAAACAGAATCACTGTGAGTTCAAGATCAGCCTTAGGGCCAGGGACTTAGCTTAGTGGTGCCTGCCCCTGCCTTGAAAGCACAAAGGTCCTGCGTTCAATCCCCGGTACTAAAAAGAAACCAAACAAGATCAGCCTGGGCTATGTAGTGAGTTCAAGGCCAGCCTGAACAACATAGCAAGATCCTGTCTCAAAAAAAAGTGAGCTGGGGATTTAGCTCAGTGGTTCCGCTGCCTGCCTCACAAGCGCAAGGACCCAAGTTTGATCCCTGGCACCAAAAAAAAAAGTGAAAATAACAGTAACAATAAAGAGGTTTATTTTAGCTCACAGTTTTGGAGGTTGAAATGTGCAGTATGGGCCTCCTGGCTGCATGACACCATGGGAGAAGCCTCGTGTCTTGACAGAGAGAGAGAGAGGGAGGAAAAGAAAGGAGGAAGAGAGAGGAGAGAGAGAGGACTGACAGTTGAGAGAGACAGGAGAGAGAGGACTGACAGTTGACCTCGATTTATAGCAGCCCGTTCTCAAGAGAACTGTGCCCCAGGAGGCCAGCAGGAATCACTTGTGAAGGCGGAGCCCCGAGACTGCCTGAGCCATTTCCCACTCTCCTCTCCCGAAAGCCCCTCCCCGTCCAGCACCCCCTTTGCCTGGACCCAGCCTGCGGCCCAGCACCTAGGGTACTCTCAGGCCACATCCGACCACCATGGGCACCAGCATCAAGAGTTGGTGTGAACCCACAGACAGTTTGGTGCCCGACAGGGCTCAGCGTCATGTGTGGGGTGGGTTCAGGTGAAATAATCGATGCTTCATTTGCTTGGTTTTTGTGAGGCTGGGAATTTCAGTGTCATTGGAACAGGGAGCCCTGATTGTTTGGGTAACAAAGAACAGGAAATGAAAGACTACTTCTCCTATCTGTTTTGTTCCTTGACTTGCCGTTGCTTTTCACATGAAGATTTATTAGAAAAAGTAAGTACATGTGATTTAATTCAAATTGTTCCAAATAACAGTTATCAGTAGTTATCGCTTTGTAGGAGTTAAGCAGAGGAAACAGCTCTGAATGCAGATTTGGTTTCTCTCCACAGAACCGAGTAGTGAGGCAGAATCCGGGGGAGAGGAATTATCACATATTCTATGCACTGCTGGCAGGGCTGGGTCCTGGAGAGAGAGGTGAGTGAGCCGGGGACTCCGGAGAAGTGTGGATGGCAGCTCAGTCCACATTTAAAATACGGCAGGAACTGACCAGGCAGCTGTCTCAGTGCTGTTCACATCCCACCAATCGCAGTGAAATGCACATTTGAAAGTAGCAGGCAAGCATGGTGGCACCCACCTGTAATTCCAGCACTCGGGAGGCTGAGGCAGGAAGATCACTGTAGGAGTTCAAGGCCAGCCTGTGATACATAGTGAGACCAAGTCTGAACTACATAGTGAGACCTTCTTTAAAGAAAGGAAATAAAACACAGTCACATAATGAACTCTTGAATCCTGTGTTATCCTGGCCAGCTGAGTGTTGATGTTATGTTCTTCTTTCTCTTTCTGTAGAAGAATTTTATTTATCTGTGCCAGAAAACTACCATTACTTGAATCAGTCTGGATGTGTAGAAGATAAGACAATCAATGACCAGGAGTCCTTTAAAGAAGTTATTGTAAGTTAACTGCTTTGTTTTCTTCTATTATGAGTGACAGATTGCATTCTCTGTTTCAAAAATCGCTTTTTAAAGTAAAGACAGAAGTGATTACATTTGGAGAAGGTGGGGGAATGGGTTTTCCCTCTTGTTCTGGGGGTGGAGAGGAGGGGAACCGAGGACTCTGCTGTCAGCCAAGTGTCCCTGTGCACGACAGGGGTGGCTTCCATGGAGCAGCTTCTGAGAGTGTGTGCCCCCACCCAAAACAAAACCAGAAAAACCTCAGGTCTTGTAGAGACACATGAGACTCCCTTTTTTTCCTGTTAGTTTTATTGGTACATTTTAGATATACATAGTGATCACATTCATCATAGGGAATTTGTACCTGTATGTGATATATCTTGCTGCTTTTTTTCCCATTCCATCCCCTTCCTTCCACCCCTCTTCCCTTCCTTATTTACAAAAGCTTTGTTTCCATTTTTCCTTCTATTTTTTTTGTTTTCCTTTCCTTCTTTTCCCCCTCCTCCCTCCCTTATTCACCTTCCCTTTTGAACATTTTCTTTCCATTTCCCAATATCTATTACTCATTTTGGTTCTTATTTACGCTTTCAGTTTCTCACACCAAAGAAACAGTGCAGGGCCAGGGATTTAGCTCAGTGGTTCTGCTGCCTGCCTCACAAGTGCAAGGACCCAAGTTTGATCCCCGGTACCAAAAAAAAAAAAAAGAAACAATGCAATATTTAAACATGTGTGTCGGATTTATTTCACTTAAGAGTATGGTCTCAAGGTGCATCCATTTACCTATAAATGTCTCAAGTTTGTCCTTTATGGTAGAGTAATACTTCAATGTAAGAAAATACCACATCTTCTTTATTCATTCTCCTGTTGATGGGCATGTGGGCTGTTTCCAAGTTTTAGCTATTACAAACTATGCTGCTATAAATGTGGGTGCATATATATCACTGTGATATGATGCTTTTAATTCTTTTGGGAAGATACCAAGAAAGGAAATAGCTAGGTCAAATGGAACCTCTAGTTTTAGTTCTTTGAGGAATATCCACTGTGGTTGCACTAGTCTACACTCCCACCACCAATGGAAAAGGATTCCTTTTTACCCACAGCTCTAGCAGCATTTGTTACTGGCTGATTTCTTGATAATAGCCATTCTTTCTGCAGTGAGTTGGAATTTCAGCATTGTTTTAATGAACCAGTGTGAGGACAGAATATCAGCTCTATAAGACAGGATTGTGGTCAGCTATCACAAAAGGAAAGATTTCTTAAAAATAGCAGGGGAGGGCCAGGGAATTTAGCTCAGTGGTTCTACCACCTGACTTGCAAGTGCAAGGACCTGAGTTCAATCCCCAGTACCAAAAAAAAAAAAAAAGGGACCATGAAAAATCAGTCCAATTGCTGCTAGATTATGCAGTGAACAATCTAAGATTGATCAGAGTCAATGAAAAAGCAGGAGACAACATAAAAAACCTGTTCACAGAAGTAATGGCAGAAAACTTCCCAAGCAAGGAAAAAGCATTTGACATACAGATAAGTGAGGCATATAGAACTCCAATTAGCCATGACCAAAAAAATCTACACCGAGGTACATAATAGTCAAGATTCCAGAAATTCAGCCCAAGAACAGAATATTAAAAGCTGTTAGAGAAAGGAAACAAATCACCTATAAAGGAAAGCCTGCCAGAATCACAGCCAACTTAACATAAACCTTTAAGTCAAGGAGAGCTTAGAGTGAAGTCCTTAAAGTCCTAAAAGAAAACAACCTCCAGCTCAGATTGATGTACCTTGCAAAACTATCTTTCAAAATTGATGGAGAAATAAGGTACTTCCATGACATAGAGCTCAAGACTCCTAATGACCCAGGAACCTGGTCCTGCTGTGGGTCTCAACTGGGTAAGCTGGCAGCCACTAGGGGGCGCTCGCAGAGGGAACCGCTCACCTGGAGGGTCCAGAAACTCCTCGTGGTTTCCTGTCATTCTCCTGGGGCTTCAGGTCCCTAGTCAGAACTGTTTCTTCCTGTTGGTGACAAGGAACTTGTGGAGTTTGCCTCCGCCTAAGGGATGACTAGCTTTTCTTGCTAAATTGAAATAATAGGTTTTGGCATTTGAAATCTGGTCTCATGACAAGAGGATCTATCACCTAGAAAGGAAGGGAAATTCGTACATGAAGCTGACATCCAGCAGGTACCTCACAAATTTATTTTGGTTATATGTTCTGTTTATAAGACAGATTTGTAGGTTCTTAATTGTTTCCTTTACAGTTGCTTTTTTAAGTATTGGCCCACCAGAAATATTGAAAACTGAGCTGACGTTTATTAAGATCACAAATATGAAATTTTTGCTGTTATTTCTGGAAAAACAAAGCAAAGAAGCCAAAGAAACAAAAATAGATTTTGGGAAATAAGGAGGAAAAATATTCCTTTCTATAAATAATACCTCTTCCTTCTAGATCTGTGTAAATCAAGAGTTTAAAAATGTGTTATACTCATAAAACGAGGTCCCTTGTAGGAAGTAAAACACATGTTCAGGTATATTTAATAATGTGGAAAACTGCCTACTAGATGAGAATTGAGAAGGGGTTAGTTAGGATGCAGTTCAGTAGTAGAGCACTTTCCTAGCGTGGAGGAGGCTGTGAGTCTCAACTCCCAACTCCCCAGTATTTTGGGGGCAAAAGTGAGGAGGGATAGATAGATAGAAAGATAGATAGATAGATAGATAGATAGATAGATAGATAGATAGATAGAGCATTTTATATATCATCTCTATATAGAAGTTATATGTGCAGGAAAAAACTGGAGTAAAAATATGTACCAAAGTTGTTATCTTCAGTGGCAGGATTCTAAGATTTTATTTTATTCTGTATCATTCTCTGTATATTCTGTTTTTACAGTGAACACATGAAGTTTTTAATGATGCCCACATTCCTAATTTCATAATTTCTCTAGTGCCGTTAGTGTCTTCATATCTTTGGGTCCCATGTCCGTGGATCCAACCAACCACAGAGCAGAAACGTACTTAGTCCCGTGACGGTTGTGCCGGTACTGAGACCTGTAAGGCAGCACCGTACAGTACCACGGTTTCTGCAGCGTGTATGTGATTTTAGGTAGTGTAGGTCAATTATGCAGTATTTGATGTACATGGCACTCGATTATATAGGGTATTAGGTATTATAAGTAATTTTGAGGTGATTTAGTATATGGGAGATACGCATAGATTATATGCAAATATTGTTCTGCCTTTTTTGTGTGTGTGAGACAAGGTTGGACTGTGTAGTTCAGGCTGGCCTTGAACTAACAGTGATCCTCCTGCCTCAGCCTCCCGAGTACTGGATTACAGGTGTGCGCCACATGCCTGCCTTGCACCATTTCATATAGGGGTTTTGAGCACCTCTGTGGACTTTGGTGTCTGTCAGGGGTCCCGGATTGAACATCCCAGATACCGAGGGACAACTTCACAAAAGCTGCCAGGAGTGCCACGCGGTTCACCAATGGCATTAACGTCTTTGGCTGAAGTTGGTGTCCCTCATCCTCTGAGTCTGAACCCCATCAGAGAGTGTGGGTGAGCAAACCGCACACCACTCTTACACTGAGCTGGAGCAGTGGAGAGGTCTGGAAGAGATCACACCGCAGTGTTTTATGTAACTGACTCAGCGTTTCTTCCCAGCATCAAGGTCCATTTAAATTTCTATCTTTGAACTTTCATTCTGGGAAGCTCCTTTTCTCAGGGGAGGTGGAATCGAAGAGAAAGGACCTCATTCTGTTGAGCTCAAGGATAATGTGCTCACAGAATGCGTCAAAAGGGGAAGAGGAATTATGTATGCAAATGTCACTTTTGATGTTTGATTTTAGCTATTATAAATTATTCTTTTTATGAACCTTAATGGCAGTGTGCTCTGGCAATAGAATCTTTAAGACCTGTGCTTACTTCCTTGAGAATTTTGTTTTCTGTGTTTGGTGGCACACGCCTATACTCCCAGTACTTGGTAGGCTGAGGCAGGAGGATTATTGTAAGGTAGAAGCCAGCCTGGGCTACATCATGGGTTCAAGGCCAGCCTGGACTACATAGTGTGACCCTGTCTCAAAAAAAACCCAAACAGTCATCACTGGCAACAGCTAACACTAACAGGAGGAAGTACCCCTGGGTTCCTGCACAGTTTAGGGGAGCCCTGGTTCTTCCTGGGGCCGAGGCAGGGAACCTGTGCTCAGTTTCATCGCCATTTTGACTACAGCCTTCCCAATTGCACTGTAAATATTTTGGTCAAGATGAGAAAGATTTCAAGTCAGAGATCTTACCCCTGCATTTCACCTGGCGGGAAGGCAGCCGACAAAATGTGAAGTGGCAAGAGTCTGAGGTGAATGGTCAGCTGCTCACTCTTCTTCCACAAGTACTGGATATTTGCACATTCTTGGCCTTTGTCTTAGTTCCTTTTCTCTCGTTGCTGAGACAAAATACCTGACACCCAAAGTTAAAGGAGGAAAGGTTTGTCTGGCTCACAGTTCATAGGGGTTTCCGTCCATAGTCACTGGCTTCCAGAGAGAGGGCCTCACAGAGAAGTTCATGGTAGGCAAAGACAGCAAAAGCGATAAAGCACAGGACCTTAACAGCGTCTCCCTGCTCCTTTTATTTTACCCAGACTACGCAGGGTGGGTAGCGCTCACGCCCTTAGTCCTAGGGCCCTTGATCCTGGCATTGCATGGTGAATCAGTCACAGACTCTAGACTCGGCCACCTTAGCAAAAGGCCCACCTATGACCGCATGAGGCTTTGGGGGGGACCTCTAGACCCAAACCACAACAACCTTGGGCCACGGCTGGGGTCTCCGGACAGGAGAGACCTTACTGGGTGTATCCATTTGTTTCGAATGGTATGTGGTCACGATTATGCATGTGTAAATTCATTCAGCTTGAGTCAGATTGAATTAAGATTTAAAGGACAGATTTTGTGCTTTGGTGTTGCCAAATGTGGAAGGAACATCTCTTTCAGTTTTAGGAATCTTTAGAATGATGTAATGTCTCACATTACATGATAAATTATTACCACAGTACTCACTTGTTGTTCACCACAGGCCAAAAGGCCTCTTGAGTTTCTGTCACACACACCCTTTGTGCAGGATTCTGCTGAGGCCCGTGCCTGGTGCCTTTGGGAAAGGAGACAACACCTTCTCTTTCTAGGGTGACAAGCTTTGTTGCTTGAGCACTGAGTCCCTCCTCACACACTCACAAACATCGTCTCTATGTGCTTCAGAAAAATTCCGTGGACATTGCCTTCCGCAGCTCTGCACCAGTTCTATAACTCAGTCGCTGTTTCGAAGTTCTGAGCCAGGCCGAGAATTTCCCAGGGATTTCTCGGTTGGAGCCGTGTTGTTGAGATAATAAAATAATTATAATGATCCTAAAAGTGGGTGCTCTTCCAAAGGGGGAGGTTGTTTCCTAAAACCAGGGAGGCAGGTGCTGGGGCTCTGCCGGGGGTGGGGGTGTCAGCTGTCCTCGGTCGGCCACGTCCCTGATTTGTCACCAGCCTGGAATGCATCGGCCCATCGGCCCCCTCTCGGGTCGGGCTGCAAAGCAGAGGAGTCACCAATTAATAAGTGCATCCACTCTGGCTGTCCTAGAAAGGACATTTTGTTCCGTTTCATCTCATGTACTCCTCATAGACCATCTTGGTATGGATTGTAAGAACTTAGCTGAGCATGCGTGGATATAGAATTTCCTTTTTTTAAAATATTATATAAATTCCAAGTGGGTGACTTAACAAAGATTTTATTTCTGTGGTCATTGTAAGATTGGCTTAGAATTTCTTTTTCTTCCTTTAGTACTGGGGCTGAAACCTGGGGTGCTCCACCATGCGCTATATTCACAGCCCTTTTTATTTTTTATTTAGAGACAGGGTCTCACTAAGTTGCCCACAGCGGACTCAAACTCGAGATCCTCCTGTCTCAGCCTTTGGAATAGCCACACCTGGCTGGCTTCGAAAAGTTTTATAAAGTAGTCTTGAGTGTGTTATTTTACATATGAGGAAATCTTTAGTCATACAAAGAATGGGAAAAATTAACTTTGGCACAGCATACTTTATGATTATTTTAAAAGTCTTGAAGATAACAGATTCTTCTATATTTCTTAACCTTTTTTTTTTCCCTTTTAGCTTTTAGAGTAAATTTGAGTCATTATTTTTCTAATTATGCAGGCTTTTAAAAATGATAAACAGTGGGCCAGGGATTTAGCTCAGTGGTGCTGCGGCTGTCTCAAAAGGGCAAGGTCCTGAGTTCGCTCTCCATACAAAAAAAAAAGGTAAACAGCTCACAGATAGTTCTTATTCTTCATATCAGTTTGTACCCATGAAATGGCAGTCTTCCTACTTTTCACTAAGTAACTCATGGGCTCTCAAGTTTTTACAGGTAACTTGATTGTGGCATAATTGCATGTAATAAAATGGTTCCATCTAACACTGATATGTTGGTGAATGTTGAATTTACACAGGTGTGTACACAACCACAATTAAGATAAGGACATGGCTGGGTGTGGTGGGGCACGCCTGTAATCCCAGCACTCAGGAGGCTGAGGCAGGAGGATTTCCTCGAGTTTGAGGCCAGCCTGGGCTACATAGGGAGACCCAGTTTTAAAAAAAAAAAGATAAGAACAGTCCTGTACCCCACAAGTTCTTCTGTGCCCTCCACACCTGGCCCATTTAATCCACTTGCGTATTGAGAATCTCAGTTTTTAAAGCTGGACGTGGTGGTGCATGTCTGTAATCCCAGGACTCAGGAGGCTGAGGCAGGAGGATCACTGCAAGGTCAGAGCCAGCCTGGACTCTACACAGTGAGTTCAAGTCCATCCTGAACTGCACAGTGAGACCCTGTCTCAAACAAACAAACAAATAAACAAACAAAAACGTTTCAATTTTTATTGTTAAGAAAAATGCCTATACATAAAAGACATGATAGAATCATAATGTTGAGCCTGAATACTATTAACAAACAGCCATATTTTCAATTTTGTAAATTTTCTACCCAGCTGGATTTTTTAAAGTAATTGTGGGTATAAAAAACACACTTGGAGGCTGGTGGTATAGCTCAGTGATAAAGCTCCTCCTACCTAGCATTTGCGCAGCCTGGGCTCAACGTTCAGCACTGCAAAAAAAAAAAAAAGGATTGTTTGTTCTGTTTTTTTTTTTTTACTTTTTATATTAAGCTACAGTAAATATAGATGGTTCTGTGTAATGCTTATGATTTACTTTAAAAACTACAGCATATCATTACGAGTTTGTTACAATGCTTACTTGTCTAACTGTGGGGTAGTTAGAATTTTGTTTTCTTCTGAAAAGGTTAACATCTTTGTAATATTCTCTGCAGTGAATATTTTATAGCGCTCTTATTTTCTGCTGAAATTTTCCTTGGAACTAATTTCCCAGATTGAAATTAATGGTGATTACATAGGAAGTTTCTTCCGATGGCCTTAGAAAGTCATAGAACTGAGTGGCCAAGAAAGATTCACCCCAGACTCAGAATTAGCTGAGCCTGACCTTGAATCTTGGTTGCATCACCCAGAGAAAGTCCTTCAGCCTCTCTGAACCTCATTGTCATGTCCCCAGATACTAAGGTTGTGGGATTATGTACAAGTGTTGCCCTGCACAGTAGCCCACATAATCGGCACCAGTAAGCAGTGCCCGAAGTTCTGTTCATTGTTCAGAAATCCTCGCTGGTTCCATAGATGTGATCTCAGAGTGACTGTGATTCACACAGGTTTGATTTCCAGGAAGGTAAATGTCGCTCTGGTGCTGTGCTTGCTCCTGTTCATTTCAAACCCGGGGCCTCACGTGTGCAGGACAGCACTCTGCCTCTGAGCTTGTCCCGGCCCTGCACGTTCTCCTGTGAGAAGTGCCAGTTTGATTCTCATTGCTCCAGTAGCTTTTCATTGTGTTCCCCTCTGTATTGTTTGCCCTTTCTGTCTGGCTTTTTGCTTTGTCCCCGTAGTCCTCCAGTTGTTTCCTTTCTCAGTTTCTGTTGCTTTACTGGTTTCCTCCGTCCTGGCCTCCTGTGGACACTGCACAAGATTCTCCTAGTAGATCATTTTTGTAGGACAGGCACAGATTCTGTGTTCAGTTTTGAGTGTCCTTTTTTCTGGTACTGGGGATCGAACTCGGGTCCTTGTGCTTGTGAGACAGGCGGCGGAACCACTGAGCTAAATCCCTGGCTGAGTGTCCTTTTTAGTAGACCTTTCCCTCACCAAAATTGGGCACCTGACTCACAATAGAAAAAGAATGAATCTTAGATATGATTCAAATGAGCTATTTAGATACTTATCACTACTCATGCAGTCCTGTGTGTACTTCTCCAAAATAGCATGATGTTAACGTCTGTGTCTCAGGCTAAGATGACATCTTAAAAACCCTGTGGAGAAATTAAAGAGATCTGTTGAATGTCTAGGGAAGATGGGTCCTGATCTATTCAGATTGCCCATCAGTATCTTATAAAAAGAAAAGAAGACTCTTACTGAGTTTCTGACACAAAGTTTTATTCTGCCCATTTGACTTCCAGTTGCCTTTAGCCAGAAAGAGAAGGCATCCATACTGGAGGAATCTTGACATATTACACAACACGCCCTCACCCCAAATATTACCCCCACTTTCTATGTCAGGAAACAGTGTTCACTGTGCCTTGATATCCGTAGAAAAGAAGCATTTTGTTCCTCAACAAGACACTGGTAGGCAGAATCCACCGAGTCATGGAAAAGATCATACTCCATGACCAAGCAGGCTTCCTCCCAGGGAAGCGAGGATCCTGTCCTTGGGGGACCCTGAGCTCCTTCCACTGCAGCAGAACCGGAAGACTTGTGTAGAGGCAGAGATTTGTTTCAGAGTGGGTTGTCCTGGCCTTCCACGCCACTTTCGGTCTGCTGTCCTGTGTAGCATCATCAACCCAGGGGTTGTGCACCTGTTAACGCGTTTTCTTGCCTTCAGAGCAGCTCCTCGTAGTGTGATTGAGTCATGAACTTTTCCCTCCAGTTTTCTTCAGTGTTGAAAGCTTAGCATTGAATGGCACAATTTCCTTCTAGACAGCCATGGAGGTCATGCAGTTCAGCAAGGACGAGGTCGGGGAAGTCCTTCGGCTGCTGGCGGGCATCCTGCACCTCGGCAACGTGGAGTTCATCACTGCAGGAGGCGCGCAGGTCCCCTTCAAGACAGGTGAGCTGGCCGCCTGTCTGCCGCCCTCCCCCACGTGTCCTCCGAAATTAAACCCAGAACGTCCGCTGTCTGCTCTTCTGCTGGGCCGGAATGGGGAGCTGAAGACGTATTTATTTCCTTTCTCTTTCTTCCCTCCCTTCCTCCCTTCTTTCTTTCCTTCCTTCCTTCCTTCCTTCCTTCCTTCCTGTCTTCCTGTCTTCCTCTCCCTTTCTTTTTTTCTATCTTTCTGTCTCTCTCTCTTGCTCTCCCTTACCCCTCTAGGTCTTCTGTACCATAATCGCAGACCCTCCCATGAGCTACAACCCCAGCTCACGAGCTGCGGGACCTCACCTGTGTCTGATGGCAAATATCAGTTAGTCAAGGGCCACAGCGTATGCAAAGTCCTTACTGAGTTGGAATGTTTTCACTCTTCCTAAGAAACAAAGAAAATAGGGCCAGGGATTTAGCTCAGTGGTTTCGCCGCCTGCTGCACAAGGGCAAGGACCCGAGTTTGATCCCCGGTACCAAAAAAAAGAAAAAGAAACAAAATGACCCAGAGAAGCGGAAGTGTGCTCGAGGTACTCCATGTAGGACACCAGCTGAGTGGAGCTGTCCCTCTCTGCCGCGGCTTCGTGGTCCCGAGCTGTGGCTGGCTCACGCGATGATTAGGACGATCCGATCCATTTTGCAGGCAGAGGGAGGGCTGGGTCCCTAACCCCGCTGCACCTCCGCTGCTGCCTGTTTTTATCCTCAGCCGGCAGTGGCTTCTCTGCTTTGCAGAGCCCGGAGGTTGGTTGTAGAGATAAAATGAGCAAATACACTAACAGCTGGGCCAGTCGTCATTTCCCACAGTGAATTATTTCATGTACGGGTTTCAAAAGCTTTTCTGATAGGAGCAATAGGTGCGGTCACAGAAGTTGGGCCGCCTGAGTGGCAGGGTCGGTTCGGTTGGAGAGGAGCCAGTCTGTAGCCCAGTGGTTCAAAGGACTGATCTACCCAGCGCCCCAAAGAGCTTTTGCTTATCTGGCTTTCGGCTCTTTAAATTTCCTGCATTAGAATTTAGAACTGAACGCTCTCATAGCTTTCCGTGACAGACCTTGATGTGTTTCCCAGGCACAGCGTCTGCTTTGATCTTTGCTCTTACCCTCTTATCTTCTTTTTTTTTGTACTGGGGATTGAACTTGGGACCTTGTGCTTTCAAGGCAGGTCTTACCCTCTTTTTTCTCTACTCAGCCCAAGCTCACTTGCAGAGCCAATTTCTCTCCCACTCTTCCCTTTTGCTTTCTTGAATAAACTTTGCCACTGCTTAAAAACAAAAGAAAGACTAAAGAATTTAAAACTAGAGCATTTAGAAATATGTATTCATTCATTTAAAAGTAACCATCATAAGCCAGGCATCGTTGCACGTGCCTGTAATCCCAGCACTCAGGAGGCTGAGGCAGGAAAACTTAAAAGACTTCTCCAAAACAGAAAAAAGTCAGTAAGAACAGAGACATTGCCTTTCCTCTTACAAATTTCTTTAGTGCCATCTGTGAAAAGTCTCCCATCTCTGTGGTGTCTTGGGGACCTCTTGGGGTGCCCGTCACGGTGCCAAGCACAGGGCTTGTCTGTGCTCCTGGCCTAGGACCCACTGAGCGATGAGCACCCTGCTGATGGGATATGTGTGTGACTGAGAGCACCCCCCGCTCCGCAGGGCTGTGTGTGTGTGTGTGTGTGGCCGGCCGTGGGGCTGAGGGTCCACCGCGCCTTCCTCTGTCCACAGCTCTGGGCAGGTCTGCAGAGTTACTCGGGCTGGACCCGACACCGCTCACGGACGCCCTGACCCAGAGATCCATGTTCCTCAGGGGAGAGGAGATCCTCACGCCACTCAGCGTGCAGCAGGTACGTGCCGATGCTCAGAATCCAGGAAAGATTCACAGAAGTCACTGGGATGAATGGTGACGGTGGCTTTGGCGATGGTCCAGTAGACAGCATCCAAGTTTGAGCGGTGCATGGAGCCATTCCCAGGCGACGTTGTTGCATGTTTACAGGACACGTAACGTGCACGTCATCTCAGTTTGAGTCTTGATCCTTCCACTTGTTCTTGGGAAATAGTATCCAGTGGGCCTCAGTTTTCTTCTCTGTAAGACAAAGATAATTATGAGATGTGATCAAAATATGCAGTCAATGTTTAGGTTTTAAAAATGCATTACAGTAAAAGGCACATTGGCATTAATCCCCCTCTCTTCGAACACACTCATCCCAGCCTTCCGGCCTCGTTCTGAAGCAGCTCTGGAAGTCTTCTTTCCTGAGTGCCTTTACAAGGTTTGCTCAAACATGTGGTACACGCCACTGCCACCCGCCATCCAACAGAAAGCCAGGCTCCTGAGACAACATGCTGTGTCCTCATCTGCCTTATTTACTGTAAGGGGCACCGTTTGACTTCCGGCTCTTCCCTAAAGTCAAAGTGAGCTTAGAAAGTGAACGCTGAGTTGGTTCAGGGTGTCCACACAGCCACAGCAGCACAGCTAAAGAACCTGTGAACAAGGGCTCCAGAACTGATCAGAGAGTGGCAAAACAAACGGTGGAATGAGTGTGTTCAAAGCAAGGGGAAGCATTTTGAGGGGAATTCCTGGCAGTGTCTTTTACTGTGATACATTTTTTAAATTAGTATTCATCGTAGTGTTCGATCACATCACATGTATAGATCCAGAATCTTTTCTATGACTGAATGTACAGTTGTATCTAAAATCCTGATATTTGAAGGAGCTGTGGGTGATCTCACTAGGAAGTCAGTGAGCTCACAGTGTCTTTAAGTCCCTGTGTGTCCCCCGCCCGTATTGATGGACTGACCCGAGGGCCCCAGGCCTTTCCTGGGCAGTCTGTCTGAGGAGTGGGGCAGGGCCAGACCTGCCTGCTGGTGGCGCTGGTCATCAGGGCTTTGTCGCCTCCAACCCGCAGGCAGTGGACAGCAGAGACTCCTTGGCCATGGCACTTTATGCTCGCTGCTTCGAGTGGGTCATCAAGAAGATCAACAGCAGGATCAAGGGCAGAGATGACTTCAAGTCTATTGGCATCCTCGACATCTTTGGATTTGAAAACTTCGAGGTAGGCTTCCCAAGCGTGAGATTTTCACATTCTGCTCTGGGCTTCGGGCTGCTATAAAATCAGTCTTTTGAAGTTAGGTGTAGTGACGCACACCTGTGATCCCAGTACTTGGGAGGCTGAAGCAGGAGGATCGTTTTGAGTTTCTAGGTCAGCCTGGGCCACTTGAACTACATAGTGAGACCCTGTCTCAGAATGAATGACTAAATGAATCAATGAATGAATAAATAAATAAAATCTTTCAAAGTAGACATTGATATTTTTCTCAGAATTTTTTTTTTTTTTTGCCTTTTCTTCACTTTTACATGTAGCAGGCACGAAAGACACTTGTCGAATGTTTTCCTGTCTTAGGTTAACCACTTTGAGCAGTTCAACATCAACTATGCAAATGAAAAGCTCCAGGAATACTTCAACAAGCATATTTTTTCTTTAGAACAACTGGAATACACTAGGTAAGTGCTCAGAGGATTCCATTCCAATTTTTTTAAAAGTCAGATTTTTGTCTTACTTGACCCTCTTCTAATCTCTCTGCAGGGAAGGCCTGGTGTGGGAAGACATTAACTGGATAGACAACGGGGAGTGCCTGGACTTGATCGAGAAGGTAAGGGCTTGCCAAGGACACTTCCGCTCCCAGGGGTGCCCGGCTGGGCTGAGTCATAGTGCAGGTCAGAGAACTTGGGCGAACTGGCACTTCGAGGATGTGAGTGTGCAGAACACAATGGACCCTTTGGAAACAGCGATGTACATGTGCAAGGTTGAGTTTAAATACTTGGCTGCCCCTGACCTATTGTCTCCTTGAATGTGATATTTAAGAATCAGCAGCAGTGTGTGAATCCACTTCCCTGCGATTCCAGTTCCTCAACAAAGCAAGTCTGGCCTTGCGAGGAGTAGATTTGCCAGTTATACGAGTTTATGCCCCCGCCAAAGTTTCATCCACTGAATTACAGTGGGTTTCATTATTAAAAGGACTGACATAGAATTTAAATTAGTTGATATCCTTACGGTGTATCATTCTGATTTTTTTCTATCTAAGAAATGACTGTGCTCGTTCTTGTCATCGCTGACCGGGTAGGGAATGGAGAGGAGGTCTAAGCAGTGTGAAAGATTCGCGTTCAGCTTTGAATCCATTCAGCCTTCTCCTTCCCTCCCCCAGAAACTCGGCCTCCTCGCCCTGATCAATGAAGAAAGCCACTTTCCACAGGCCACGGACAGCACCTTACTGGAGAAGTTACACAACCAGCACGCGGTACGGCCAGACCTGCTGGTCCTCCGTGTGTGCCAGCAGCAGCCCTGCGATGAAGATTGCAGAGACGTGGGTCCTGTTGGACCAGCACTGCCTCCACATTTAATGTTCTCTCTCGACTCAGAGCTTTTCTTCCCTTTCTAGACCTAGGCTGAAATAAGTCAAATTCTCCCGCTCTCATTAGATCTAAATTGCTTAAGGTTAGATTTGGGGCTGTTGTCAGACTGTGCCCATTTATCTTCGGAGTGCAGATGTGACCGTGTCTCGCCGACTGTCACGCCACAGCTGGGAGGTGGTGGCTTCGGGTGCCATTGTGCTGTGTCCTGAAATCCTGGTGACGGGCGACAATTATTGCTGCTGTGCTTGCTTGGCTGTCCATTGTGTGTGCTTTTCTCCAAAGGCGAAGGGAATGAGTGACAAAGCATTTTAATTTTCTTTTTACTAGAATAACCACTTTTACGTGAAGCCCAGAGTAGCAGTGAACAATTTTGGAGTGAAACACTACGCTGGAGAGGTAACTTCTGCATAAGATGCTTATAGTTTGCGAAGCCTTTGAGACAGCATCTCACTTTGTAGTTCAGGCTGGCCTTGAACTCTCTGTGTAGCCCATACTGACCTCAAACTCCTGGTGATCCTGCTGCTTCAGCCTCCTGAGTGTGGGGATCACAGGTGTGCACTCCCACACTGGCTTCTGACTTTTATTTTTCAAACTAGGTGCAGTATGATGTCCGAGGCATCTTGGAGAAGAACAGAGACACCTTCCGCGATGACCTTCTCAACTTGCTAAGAGAAAGCCGGTACGTTGGTTCCCACGTCTTAAACAAGAATTAAAATTTGTGCAAATGTGCTTAACTCCCGGGTATAAAACAGATCGCTACAGGGCCAGGGATTTAGCTCAGTGGTTCCGGCGCCTGCCTTGCAAGCGCAAGGTCCCGAGTTCGATCCCCGGTACCAAAAAAAAACCAGATCGCTGGCATGGAAGCACTTGCTTTTGTATCTTCTCCAGGCCTTATTTCATTGATAAAGTGACTTAAAGCTATAAATTAATAATAGTAGCGGTGGCTGCCATTTAATGCAGTGCTGAAATAACAGCCAAGCCATGCGCTTTGTTGTGCAGGTGGGAGACCTGCGCCAGCCAGCAGTGGTAGCCAGTGAGTGGTGAGCTTCCTTTGATAGGTCTGCCTGGCTCAGGAATCTAAGCAGCCTGACCTGCTTTCTTTACTGCAGTCCCAGCTGTGTGCTACTTCCGGCCTTGCTTTTCTGGGATCCAAATGTCTCTTGTTAGCATAGGGACATCAACAAGATTAAACAAGTGTTAATTCAGCCAAAAATAGAAATGCATTATGCATTCACTCATGAATTAACAATTCACACCATTAGATCAGTAGTTAAGGAAAACAGGCAGGAACTTTTAATGATTAGTTTTGCTGTTTGAGATTAAACCAGGAAGCTTCCTATTCTTAGGAAGATTTTCAAAAGGGAAGGAAACAACCCTTGGCAAAAAGCTTTTGATACCGTTCAGGGCCCAGCATGAATGTGTAACAATAAAGATTTCATATCTAAGGAAGGAAGCAGCACAATTGTTCAGAAGCTCTGATGTGTTTTGAAATGTGAATACCAGGGGGCCATCCTGCCTTTTGGAAAGCTCTGAATTGGGGTGAAAGGAGCCAGGCTAACGTGTAGGCTGAGGCGCTCAGAATCTGAAGAGTTTGATCTTTAAAGTTGCTTTACCTCTGCGCCATGAAGAGTCCTCAGGTGGTAACATCATCAGCTATTTCCGTTTGTAGATGAGTTTGCAGACCTGTAAAAACACTGAAGGATGCTTTTAAAGGACCAGGACATGTTATCTGTGGGAACAATCGGGAGTTCTCAGGTTAAGAGTGATGCGTTTAAATGAAAGCATTGTGTTGGTTTTAAATAGAAGCAGTTTCGTCCTTGTCCAAGCCTAAAGATCCACAGGCCCGGGTCTGGCAGGGTGGAGCTGGGCAGGTTACTTCTGTCCTGTGTCAGCGCATCTGTGACAGAGGTGACAGGTTGCTGTCCCGGCCCACGAGGCTCTGCTGACTGCTGGCTCTGTCCTCCCTCACCTTTGTCCTCTTTGACCTTGAAGGGAACCCAGGCTTTTCTCCAAGCCTCCAAGCCCAGCCCAGCCTCGGGAACCTAGGGAGACCCTGTCTCCAGGAAGGGCTGGGGATGGAACTCGGTGCAAAGACCCTGGCACAGGCAGGATTCTGAAAGTACCCGCTTCCCACGTGACAGAAGTGGGGGCTGGTGCACGGGGCTCCCAGTGCCTGAAGCTCTTTGGCAGAAGTCGGTTTGAAGTCTTAGAAGTCGTCCTTGCTGAGCTGCTTGTAGTTAATTTCCAGTGGGAAAAGGCACCGTAATTACAGTCGTCGGGCCCCTAATAAGCGGTGTGCGGCCTCACGGCCCACTGTCCTCACAGGTTCGACTTCATCTACGACCTCTTCGAGCATGTCTCCAGCCGCAGCAGCCAGGACACCCTCAAGTGTGGCAGCAAGCTCCGGCGGCCCACAGTCAGCTCGCAGTTCAAGGTCGGTCTGCGGGTGTGCACGGCCTGGCCCTTGTGTGGTGACCCTAGAACGCAGAGGACTTGGGTGTTCACAAGGTCTAGGAGGACTTACAATTTTGTTTTCTTTTGTATCATGCTTTTAAAGGAGTGATTCTGGGTGCAGTGGTGTTTACCTGTGATCCCAGCTCCTTGGGAGGCTGAGGCAGGAGGGTCATCACAAGTTCGAGGCCATCCTGGGCTCCATAGCAAGACACTGTCCGGGACCAAGAAAGGGGGAAAGGTGCTACAGACGGAGCCCATGGGTAGAGTGCACCTAGATTCTTTGCTTAGCGTGTGCAAGGGCCTGGGTGTGATCTCAGCACTCACACAAACACACAGAATACACACAGTACATGCATGTATGTGTATTATGCACATACACACTTTTCCAAGACAGATGAAAACACAGAGACTTTTTTTGATTAAATAAGATAACTAATTTAATTCTAACTCTTTGAAATAACAGATCTTAAAGTCTGCTTTGCTGTCTGGGCTTATTCTCCCTCGTATCTAGATGTTTATGTGAAAATAGGGTGATTTCTTGCCAGATCTAGATGGGAATGTTTTTTCCCAGGCATGTTTACTGTAGCACAAATAGGAAGAGTGGCCAAGATCCTGTTTAAGCAAGATCAGTCACACTGAGTGTGGCGGCACACACCTGTGATCCCAGCACTTAGCAGGCTGAGCCAGGAGGATTGCTGTGAGTTCGAGGCCAGCCTGGGCTATATAGCAAGGCTCTGTCTCATAAATAAGTAAGCAAGGGGAAAAAAAATTTTGAGTGCTTCACCTCCCATGGAGATGTTTTGTCTCTGGGAAGTTGGTTTGCCGGGAGGGCACGGGAGTGGGCACCAGACCAGGAGGAGCCCAGAGCAGCAGGGTTTAGAAGGGGTCCATGGGGCAACACCCCACAGTGACTAAAGGGACATAAACGATGTGTTCACAGAGCACAGTGCAGGGCCATCTCTTTCCTTCTAACAGCTACAGAATGTGAGACTGTAGAGCAAATTCTAAATATCAAAGGTGAGGTTGGTGTACATTTTAAGGTTAATTTAAATGTTAAATTTCTCCTCTCTCTCTCTCTCTCTCTCTCTGTGTCTGGCACTGGAGATCAAACTCGAGGCTGCTGTGCCACTGAGCTGCATTCCCAGTCCTTTTTATTTCTTTACTTTGACACAAGGTCTCACTAAATTGTCCAGGCTGACCTCAAACTTGTAATCCTCCTGCCTCAGCCTCCCCAGTAGCTGGGATTATTGATGGGCACTACTGTGCCCAGCTCCTAACTGTTAATTAATCAGTTTATTAATTTGAGGAGTTCCTGTTATGTCTTTTAAGGTACTCTCGTATTGGGGTTATATAATGCATTAAAGTATTTCATCTTTAATAATGCATACTGAAATCTTGATGGATGAATAGGATGTCTGTCTAGCTCACTTTCTGTCTGTCTGTCTGTTTGTTCATTTGCCTTCACAGTGAGCTACACCCTCAGCCCTCTTTTATTTATTTGGAACAGGGTCTTGCTAAACTGCTAAACTGCCCAGATAGGGCTTGAATTTTCGATCCTCCTGCCTCAGCCTCCCAGAGCACTAAGATCACAGGGATGTGTCACTGCACTGGCTTATCTGAATTGAACACTGAAATGCCTTAAGGTTGCTTTGGGTTTGTACCAGTGGTTTTTATAAAATGCTACTATTTCAAAGGAAGTAATGAATGAACGGATGTTGCATGTTATGGGATAACTTCAGTTACAATGAGTTGTCATTTCTTTCATGTGGTTTTGTAGTAGGACGACATTAACGGTGAAAACCTGTTAAGTTATTCTTCTGATTGCTGTTGTTTTGTTTGTGGCCCTTACTTCTGGTTGTGCCTAGGGTGACAGAATGGGGGGCTGAACCAGCATCTGCTCTTGTCTCTGCCAGGACTCGCTGCACTCCCTGATGGCCACGCTGAGCTCCTCCAATCCCTTCTTCATCCGCTGCATCAAGCCGAACATGCAGAAGGTGAGGCTGCTGGCCCTCTCGGGCCTGGCTCTGTCCCGCGGACACGGCCAGGCTGGGGCTCCCAGTTGTTGCTCAGCGTTCTTTCACGCAGATGGTTGGAAACCGTGAGAGGGGAGCGTGACCTTGCCTTACGTGGACAATCCTGCCATCCTCTGCACCTGGGCCTCTGCTTCTGAACATGCCATTGGGCTCTAGGGAAACCCAGCCTAAAAGGCAGCAGCGCGACACTGTTGCATTGTTCTTTAGGGTTAGGGGTGGCACTCTGGCATCGAGCGTCAAAGTGCGGCATAACTGGAAAAAATACTGGGTGTGTTTTTTTGGTTGTTGTTGATTTATTGATTGTTTGGGGGTTTTTTGTGCTGGGAATTGGACCTTTTGTACTAGGGACTCGGGACTTTGTGCTTTCACGGCAGGTGCGGTGCCACTGAGCTAAATCCACAGCCCTTTAATTTTATTTTGTGACAGGGTCTTGTTAAGTTGCCCACGCTGGGTTTGAACTTGGGATGCTCCTCCCTCGGCCCCCAGAGTGCTGGGATTATGCCTGGCTTGCTTTATTGTTAAACATGGCTAAGAGGCTTTAATTCATTAATTGTAACTGATTAGAAGATACCTCCAAGGTTGTCTTAATGGCTGTGTGATTTTTAATGTCCTAATTCAGTTAGAAACAACATGAGCTTGAAAGATGAGCCACCTAAATAAACAAACAAAAACAGACACTTAGATAACTGCAGCCCAGGATGGAAGGAACACCTTGCCCTGAAGTGTTGTTAATGAATGAATTTGGATGTCGTACTGTCAAGAACCCCCTCATGCTAAAGCACTAGAAGCTTCCTTCATAAGGAAGAAGATGAGAAAGCAGACTGGAACTTTGCCTGTGAGACCTGAGCTGTAGTCTGGAACTTTGCTGACGCTGGATCTTACTTTTTTTATTAGTACATGTTTGCCGTGCATGATGATCCCATTCATGGGGAATTGGCACCTGTACATAATGTATCTTAACTCTTCTTTTTTCCCCTTTCCTTTCCCTCCCTTCAAACCGTTTTTTCCCCCTTACAAAAGCTCTGTTTCCATTTCTCTGCTTCCATTCTTTTTTTTTAAACGCCTTTTCCTTTTTTCCCTTGCTCCTCCCTCATTCCCCTTCCTATTTTAACATGTTCTTCCTACTTCGGTCATCTGTCCTCCACACATAAGCTTGTGTGTCCAAATATAAGCAATAGATACACACCCATGTTTATAGCAGCACAACTCATGAAACAGCCCATATGTCCATCAGCAGATGAATGGATAAAGAAAATGTGTTTATATTTAATGGAGTACGACTCTGCCATAAAGAAGGATAAACGAGACGTTTTTAGGTAAATGGATGCATCTTTTAAGACCAGAATTTTAGATCTTTCTTTTATATTAAGAGTTGCCTTTAAGTTAATATTATGTTGATTCCTCAGTTATAGATCCCCTGTGTCTTTATAATAACCACACTATTGAATTCTTTTCTTTTAGAGGCTCAATTGGGCATCTCTTTAGTAGTGAGTAATTTAGTTTATTACCTTCATGTGAGGTCTAAGGGAAGAACTTGGGCATCTAGCCTGACTCAGTGATAATACACTTGTAATCCCAGCCCTTTGGGAGGCTGAGGCAGGAGGATTGTCTCACCTGAGCAACTTGTAGCTGTAGCTTGATGGTAGAGAGCCCCAGGGTTTGATTCCCAGTCCCAGGGAAAAAAGAAAAAGAACTTCGCGTTTGTATGACATAAAGCAACCAAAACTGGTTTTGTAGACAAGATCTATAATGACTTAATGTCCAGCGTTCTGGTGTTTTAAAAAGACACCACCTGGGCCCGGGATTTAGCTCAGTGGTTCTGCCGCCTGCCCTGCAAGCGGAAGGATCTGAGTTCGATCCCCGGTACCAAAAAATAAAAATAAATAAAAAGACACCACCTTCCATGGTTCAGATATTTATTAAAATGTTACAGGTTACCAAAGCAGATGGCAACATGAGCAATACTTAGCCATTTTGGACAAAATGTAGAAAATTGGCAGTGAGAACGCGGCTTCCTCCGTGTGGCGTGTGTCCTGTGAGCCGGTTCACATTCACCTTGCTGCTCCTGTCAGCCCGCCGGGCAGTTTGTCCGAAACAGCCTTGGGCTTTGCGTGTTCAGAGTGGCTGGCTTAGTCTCTTGTCAGAGTCTTTCTCCGTGTCACCGGAAGGCTGATAGTGCCTCCTTCATCTGGGCACTCATGTCTCTTCCTCAGTGGAAGCCTGGGCTGGAGTGCATCTTCCAGGTGAGCTCTGAGGCGCCGTGGGGCCTTGCAGAGCCACCACCGCCTCCGACTCCTGGTCAGAACTCGCCCTGGCCCTGCGGCTCTAAAAACAGAAACTGCAATCTGAAAAACCCAGTCTTCTGTCTTTGTTTTTGGTCCTTGGTTGGTTCTTGGATTAGCACTTATCTGGTTCCCTGAAAACACTGGGCTTTCCCTGCTTGTTGGCTGAGGAATTTGTCTCAAGAGTCCCCACTGGGCCAGGCACTGTGGCCCTTGGCTATAGTTGCAACCCCTTGGGAGGCAGAGGCAGGAGAATCACCACTAACTCAAGGCCAGCCTGGGCTAAATAGCGAGACCCCGTCTCCAAAACAAAAAACAAAACAAAAAGTCCACATTTGGAGTTTCTGACACATTTCTTTAGTCCAGAGATCAGTTGTAGAAAGTTCGCCGCACCATTCCTGCCTTCCCCGTGTCTGGTGTGGTGTACACTTCCACTTTCCTCTTGCCTCCTGTAACCAAAAGAGACAAAAGTTGCAGCTGTGACGTCAGCAGCCTAGAAGAGTGTGGCATCAGAACAACTGAAGCAGCGGCTTTTGTGCTTTCAGGGCTGTGTGCAGTGGACACAGTGACTCGGACATCCAGGCCTGGACAGTAGGCTGCCTCCTGGCCAGTGTTGGAACCTCAAAATAGGCATTTGGGCCTAAAATAATCCGGGAATCCTCTGTGGGGTTTTGTTAGTTGTGTACTCACGATGTAGCCCAGGCTAGCCCCAAACTCATAGCAGTCCTGTCTCAACCTGCTGAGTGCAGCGGTTGTTTGTGTGTACCACCATGCCTGGCGGTAGTTGTTGGGTTTTTTGTTTTTGTTTTTGTTTTATTTCGTTTGGTGTGTTTTGAAATATCTGGAGAGAAGGAGACTCTAGTGAACTGTTGAAACACACGCTTCAGTTCAGCTTTTAACATCATGTGGCCTTTTCGTAAACATTCCCCACTAATCCAGGGCATCGTGTCACACACATGTCATGGGCTCGCTGGGAAAACCTCTTGGCGCCAAGTGATGGGGGATACAAGCCTCACCTCTGACAGGAGTCCGGGTGCTGTGGAGATGGAATCCTCTTCCCAGAGTTCTCTGAGAGTTCACAGAGAGGAGACTTCTCCATCAGGTGACTTTGGGTTGGCAATGTGACCTTAGAGCTTTTCTCAGCTATGACTTGCTATCAGGCAGTGGCAGAGCTGACCCACAGGGCCCAGGGCACCACTCGAGTATCGGCCCCAGGAATCCTGCATTCTTGCTGCTTGGTCTCATCAGAATCTCTCCAAGGGCCTCTAGGCATGTGATCTCTCCCCGCCTGCCTGTCCACTATTTTAGCAAATAAGTTCTAGTTAGAAAAGTCTCTCATTAACATGCTTCAGAAAACCCTTGGGGAGGTTCAGAATTAAAGGTGGGAACAGACTGATAGGTATCAGGAAGCCTCCCGGTGTGGGAACAGGAGAATAATGAAGTTCCACACCTCAGAAGCCGGGAGGCCCAGCCTGCTGGTCCATCAAGGCCACCTCTGGGCCCCTACCAGGTGCTGTCCCTGCTACTGTGTGGAAGTGTGTGTCGAGGACTCAGAGGCGAAGAGGGAGACATCCTGCACTGAGGTCAGCCCGATCTCCCAGGGCTGGGCTGTGGAGGAGGCCTTCACACAGCCCTCACATGGAGGAAGTTTGTCCCCAGGAAGAGCAGCTCAGACCACAGTCCCAGTGCTGGAAGACAGGTGATCATGCCCCAGAACCAAGCCTGAGAGATAGAGCCCTGCGTGGGCCTTGTCCACTGAAGGCCTTGAGGCGTCCTGTCCCCTGGCCTGAGCCAGGAGCCCATGAAAACCATCTCTGTCTTTCAGGAGACTTGGGAGCACATCGGTGTCGGGGTAAAAAGTTCTGATAATAACACGGCATGAGTCCTCCCTTGACTTTCTAGTCCTGTTTTATTTTTATATCTTTCTATTTCCTTTTATTCAAGTTCAGGCTTTTTAGATTTTTTTTATCAATGCCTTTTAGTTTACAGATGAAGGAGTTTCGTTCTGGAGGATTCACGTGTGCATCTGACACACGTGGATGCTCGCCGCTAAGCTACACTCCCGGCCCTGGCACATACTTGGGTGTCTGGACTTGGCGGGAGTAGTTCCCAAAGTCTGTCCCTAGCTTGTGAAGGTGGCATGAAAAGCTGTGAGGAGACTCACTCCCACCCGGGCCCCGCAATGTTGGCGTACCTCCTAGTGTGCAGGTGTCTATAAATCCCGAGCACTAATAAATACATTTTCCTCCTCCAGCAAACAGCCTGTGAGCCTAATTGGTCTCTGAATTTTTATTCAGACATCGGCACTGGGTGCTGGGCTTCCTCAGGGCTCAGACGGAGGAAGAACTGAGTTTCATAGACCAGGCTTTACTTTTTATTGTGTCCTTTCACTTCACAGAGATCCTCCTGCCTCAGCCTCCAGAGTGCTGGGATTACAAGCATGCGCCGCCACGCCCAACATCTTTCTATTTTCTGATATCCACTTTAGTCTCCTTTTTCAGGGTACTATACTTTTCGTTGTAGAGGCCTTTCACTTCCATGGTTAGATTAATTCCTAAGTATTTTGTTTCATGATGCTATTATGAAAGGTATTTTTTTTCATTAATTTTTCAGTGAGTTTGTTCTTGTTGTACAGAGACCCTATTGATTTGGGTTTTTTGTGTTTTGTTTTTTGGGGGT